CAGGAGGAGGAGGAGCAGGAGGAGGAGGGAGAGCAGGAGGAGGAGGAGGGAGGGAGGAGGAGGAGGGGGAGGAGGGCGAATATCAGTGAGTACACCGTGTACAATATACAATATACAAGTGGTTGTTCCTAGCTGTTGTGTGTCCTCTGAACTTTTTCAAAGTTTTCCTCTGGCTTTCTGCCTCCCACACCAGTTCCTTTGATTTTCTGCCACCTGGGCCAGGAATCTGGCAGCTCTGCCTGCTGGTCCTGCCCTCCACATGGCCTCAGGGGCCTGTTGGTTTCGGGTTCTTTTTTTTTTTTTTTTAATAATTTTATTTATTTTTCCCCCAAAGCCCCAGTAGATAGTTGTATGTCATAGTTGCGCATTTTTCTAGCTGCTGTATGTGGGACACGGCCTCAGCATGGCTGGAGAAGCAGTGCGTCTGTGTGCGCCCGGAATCCGAACCTGGGCCGCCTACATCGGAGCGCACACACTTAACCACTAAGCCACGGGGCCGGCCCTGGTTTCGGGTTCTTGATGACATGGAGTGAAACCTCAACACCTGCTTCTGGGCGTGTGTTGGGTCAGATTTCATCAACCACCCTGGGTCTCCAGCATGGCTGGCTCCTGCTGCCCCCGCAGGCCCTGCCTGTAGGCGCCCTGCCAGCCCTGATGATCTCAGCACATTTGGGGCCAGAAGCAAGAATGAACATGTGTAAGAACCAACGTGTGCCCCACCCTGTGCTGGGTCTTCACAGACCTGGCGCGGCCTCAGGGGGTGGTCCTTATTCATGGCCCACTCAGGTCTGCTCAAAGGTCGCCTCCTCAGCGAGGCCATCCGTGATTGCTCTGTCCAGAAGAGCCCCCTTGGTCACTTTCTAGTATGTCTCACCCTGTTAATTTCCTTCATTACTGCCACCATCTGACTTAGTTTTATTTCCTGTTGGCTTCCCCCATCACACATGAGCACCATGATCCAGAGACCTCATCTATCTTGTTTATCCCAGGTCCTGGGTCCAGCATGGTGCCTGGTGCACAGTAGGTGCTCAAGTACAGTTTGCTGTTGAGGGGTGAATTACCTGGGAGGTATAAATCCACCTCTCCATTTTACTGAGGAGGACATGAGGCTCAGAGAAGGCAAGCGACTTGCTCAAAATCACACAGCCAGTGAGTAGCAGATTTGGGATTTGAACTCAGTTCTGGCTGAATCTAGAACTTGTTCCTTCCCAGTGGCCAAGGAAAGAAAAGGCGAAACTCCAGCCAGCAGGCCCCTGCATGCCTGTTCCTGAGAGACCCCAGACCCATTCCCGGGAGGTGTGTCTTCATGGTGACACAAAATAAGAACTCATCTGTTTTGTGTGCCAGCTATGTGCCCCCCACTGTGACAAATCCCTGTTTCTTCTTAAAATTGTGTTTTAGTGATAAAAGTTATAGCAGCTCAGTGTGGAGGGAAAAAAGGATTAGAAACACGTAACAAGTTAAAAGGATCAAGACTCCAATTCTACTTCCTCCAATGCCAGCTGGTGACCTGTGGGTTCTTCTGGAATTTTCAACGCATATGCAGACATGTGCACACACAGGAACGCGCGCACACACTCAGAAGTTTAATATGTAGATGGGAACATTACTGACATTCACTTTGAAACGTGCTTTCCCTACTCTCTCTGCTTGTGTCTGATAGAACACTTGCGACACTGAGGTTTTATCAGGCTCATTTTACAGATGTGGAGACTGCAGCTCAGAGGGGGACAGAGGTGACAGGCCATGCCTGAGGCTGGTGACTCACAGAGTGACCACCACCACTAGTCTGACACATGCTTGCCCACTGCTCGACTCTGGGTGGGGGTGGAAGGACCCTGGAGAAGGACCAGCCTCTGTCTTTCTGTGCGTGGCTCCCCTCTCCACCACTGGCTGGAGGACATTCCATAAGCCACGCTGGTGTGATCGGGCAGCTGAGATGTTCCTTGTTGGATATGAAACCATTGGGGATGCTTCAGCATCCTCAGGCTCAGAACAGAAACACCCACACAAGGCTTCCTGCCTTCCATGCTGGCTCCTTGTCTGCTTCCTGCCACCTGATCCAGGAAGCCGGGGGCCCCCACCGATGGATTCTGTCCTTCCATGTCCCCTGAGGTCTGCTGGGATTTGAGTTCTTGGTTGTGGTGAAGGAATCTTCAATATCTGCTACTAGATTGAATGTTGGACCAAATTTTGCCGCCTTGGCTGGTTCCCCTTGGGACACACTGAGTGTAATCATGGTGCAGATGTCGAAGGAACAAGAATTCACTCGCTTGTACCCGCTGCTGGACACATCACCCATGTCCGTGGGGCCCTTTCAACAAAACAGCCCCTTTCCCTTCTTCATTTGGGTCCTGCTCAAAGGTCACCTCCTCCTGGAAGCCCTCGTGTCACTGTCACTGTCTGATACATTCTTGCTCATTTGTTCGATCATTGCCCGTCTGCCGACTAGACGTGAGCCCCTTGACAGCAGGGACGGCATCTGCTGTGCTCACGGCTGCACCCCCAGCATCCAGAATAGTGCTCAGCACGTGGTGGGTTCTCGATAAACACACAGCCCTGGCAATTATCAATTTTTCTCCTCATTTTGCCAATGAAAAAACTGGGGGACAGGCAGGGGATATCTGAGACACCCTGCAGCACCTCTCAGACTGTGACCTGTGTTTGAGTCTCTGGGGGTCTGGTCCAAGCGTCAATCCTGATGGAGAAGGTGTATGGATGATCTGCTGCTGCATAACAAACAGCCCCCAAAGCTTAGTGGCTTCAAACACTGACCACTTTATTTCCTCCTATGATTGTGTGTGTCAGCTGGGCTCAGCCAGGTGGTTCTTCTGTACCACGTGATGTCGTCCGGGCTGTGGCCATCTGGAGGCTCAGCTGGGCTGGAACGTCCAAATGGCTCCCTCAGGCGGCTGCAGCTGATACTGGCTGTTGGCTGGGAAATCAGCAGGGCTGTTGATCAGAGCTTTTTATGAGGGAGGCCTTTCCACGTGGCTTGGGCTTCCTTACATCACGGCAACTGTGTTCTGAGGGGACATGCTGCATGAGCAAATGTAAGTGTATGCTGCAAGCCCTCCTCACCACCCGTACCTGGCGCAGCACCACCTCTGCCACACTCTATTGGTTAGGCAGTCCCAGGCCAGACCAGATTCAAGGAAAGGGAAATAAACTCCTGCTCTTATTGGAGACAATGGTAAGAAATTTGCAGCCCTCACCTTTGTGGGTCTGGGTTAGGGCCTGAAACCCTGCATTTCCAAGATGCTGCTGGTAAGGCCCGTGCTGCTGGTCTGAGGACCACATTTTGAGTAGCAAGTTCTTAGAGCTCATGGCTACAAAAGTCCCTTTCTTCCCTAAATACTTAATGAGCACCCACTATGTGCCAGGAGTCACTTTCACGTGTGCTGTCATGTTGAATTACTTTGCTGAGTGGCTGGAGTGAGTTACTGCACCTCTCTGAACTTCTGTTTCCTCTTTGTTCCTCCTGCTTCTCCCCAGACCTATCTGCTGAGCCCTGGGGCCTCTCATGTACCCCGCCTGCCATAGCTCTTCTCTGGATGGACCTTCAGTAGGTGCATCCGCCCCAGCAGAGAGGGGAATCGAGGGTAGTGTGTCCTGACCTGCTGAGAGCTCCAGGACCAGTCACCTGGAGCGGGATCTGCAGGGCTGGAAGGAATGTAGGGCGGGGGGAGGAAAGTTTGGGCATTTCTCCAACATTCTGTCAGTTCCAGGAGGAATGTCTGTCCCAATCTTCTCACTGAGCAGCTATATGCTTCATGAACACCCTCCTCTGATCATGGGGAGACCTCATAGGGGCTGACACCACGTCACAGGGAAGTTCAGGGCAGGATCTGGACAAGATGTACCCCTTCTCAGGCCCTCATCCGACACCCCATTTCCCAGATGGAAGACTGAGCCCAGAGAGGGCTGGCACAGCCCACAGTCAGAGCGAGGACAGGCAGGACTCCACTCAGGGTCTCCCAGCTCTGCCCTCCCCTGTCTGGACCCCGTGCTCTCATCGCCGCCTGCAGCCTCACCCCCACTCCTCCAGGTGCCCTCGTCTGACTGGGCTCCTTACCCCCAGAGTCTGATGCGGGTAATCCCCAGCCAGGCTGGCGTCTTTGTTCCTGCTCCCAGCAGTCGTGTCTCAACTCAGCCCCTGGGCTGCCTGGAGGCTGGTCTTGAACTCCTGCCAGGCTGTGCGGCCCCAGAGGCCAGAGGCTTCCTGTCTCTGAGCTTCCTGATTCTGCACCGAGAAATGGTGCATGATGCCCTCCTGGGCCCCACGTGGACAGGAGCCTGGGAGATGTTTGGGGACAAAGCTTGGCCTGGCCCTGCTCACCTGGCACCTGAACCCTCAAGTTCAACCTTTCACCTGCCACACCATGGCCTCAGAAGGGCAGGGGTGGCTGTAAACTTGGGGTCCAGAGTCACCTTTGCCCACCTCCCATCTTGCCCTACCACCCATGTGGGAGGTGCTGAGACCTGAGGATCCAGTACCTAGGCCTTGTGGCTGAGCAGGTTCCTCTCTGGACCCAGCTAGCTCTGCTTTTCTGTCTTGGGTGGCCGCCAGGTGGGGAGGAGGCAGTCAGGCTTGCGGGGATTGGCTGACCCAGCAAGCCCAGCCTCCCCCACTTCGGAGGCTGGGTGGGACAAAGACTTCCCAGGAGCAAACAGGAAGTTGTGTGGGATAAGTTGCTCTAGACAGAAGGTGCCAGGCTGGAGTTGGCAGGGCCAAGCGTTCTGGTTCAGGGTGGGGAGGGGCACTGCCCAACGCAAGGGAGGCTCCAGGGAGCGAGCTGGCGGGGGATGGTGGTTTCCTCATAACTGGAGCCTCTGGCAACCGTCCACTGATTCAGTTTGGGTGTTTCTTCATTAGTCTCTCTTTCTCTTTCTCTTTTCTCTCTTTCTTTATGTTTCTCTTTATCTCTGTCTCTCTGTCTCTCTCTCTCTCTGTCTCTCTGTATGTCTTCCTCTTCCTCTGGACTTCCCTGGATCCCCCTCCCCTCTCTGAGCCCTCCCTGCCCTGTCTCCAGCACCCACCGTCCCTGCCCCTCCCTGGCCCCGTCCCTCACACCCTTGGTCCTCTCCCTGTCTTCGTGAGCTGTCCGTCTCTGTTTCAAGCTCACCAATACCACGCCTTTCCTGGGCCTCAGGAGCTCACCCTCCACCCCCTCTGCCCTGCAGGATGCCGCAGCTGAGCCTGTCCTGGCTGGGACTCGGGCCGCTGGCAGCCTCCCCGTGGCTGCTCCTGCTGATGGTCGGGGCCTCCTGGGTCCTGGCCCGCATGCTGGCCTGGACCTACACCTTCTATGACAACTGCTGCCGCCTCAGATGTTTCCCGCAGCCCCCCAAACGGAACTGGTTTTGGGGTCACCTGGGCCTGGTGAGTGTGGGCAGCAGGAAGGGCCTGGGGCATCAGGGTGGCTGGAGCCCCGAGAGGTCAGGACTGGGGCTCTGGGTTGGGCTGGGCTCTAGAACAGTGGAGAAGCCAGGGGAGGCCTCTTCCTCACTCCCTGACCAGGTCCACTGTTCTCCTCTGTCCACTCCAGGCCCCAACGCCCTTCTCCTTCTCCCCCTTCCTCACCCCAAGCCTGCTTTAGGGCATGTTCCTGCCTGTCTTCCCCACATGAGTGCACCTCTGAGGGGCTCCCAGGGTGGATTGCACAGAGCCGGGTCCCCTCATGTCCCCACAGTCTCCGCCGCTGGTCTTGAGGCCTCTTCAGGGCCTCTGTCCAGGGTCCACTCCCTGCCTGCCCTGTCTCTGTTGGCCTCAGGCCAGTGTCTCTCCTCTCTGGGCTTCCACTTCCCCACAGGAATGAACTATGACCTCAGCCTCCCTTCCCCCCTCAGGGGCACAGCTGGGCCAGAGGAGAGGTGTGGGCAGTCTCTCCTTGCCCTCCCTTCCTCAGGTGCCTTCTTGTTCTTGTCCTGCCTTGTACCCCGAGGAAATATCAGTGGGCCCCACTGCCAAACTTGGATAAAAGTTGACCACTTACCCTTTCAGAAGGAATCCCTCTGGCCTCTGCCTTAATGGCCAGACTTCCTGGGCGGCGGGTCCTGGCCCGGCATCCCAGCCTCATCCTCAGAGGACCTTCCTCCATGCTACGTCAGCCCCCTCTTGCCACATTCACAGTTTGGATTTTGTCATCACCAGTAAAGGCACCACCTCCAAAGCAACTGATCTGAGTGTTGCATTCTCTGACTCTAACCTCCTCTTCCTTCCAGCTTTTTTTTTTTTACCCATTTGGGACTCTGCCAGGATGTCCAGTCTTCTCTACATCCCGGTCCAACAGCTTCCTTCCGACCCTACATCCTTGGATACATCCAGCTTAGATTCCCATCCTTTGCACGTGGGCTGAAGTCTCTTGCCAACTGGTCTTTCCTTCATGGCCTTTTGGAAAACCTGTTGGAGCTCAACCACTCAAGTCCTCTGAGCTCTTCTCCACGATGATGCTAGAGAAGGTCACAAAACAGGACAGAGGGGTGACATGTAAATCCCCATCTGCCCACCTCCAGAGCACCTCATTCCGCACCCAGACCTCCAGTCGGCTTGCTCTGCTGTCTCTTCGTGGACAAAACTTGTCTTCACTTGTTGCCTCCATTTCCCTCTCGCTCCTCACCTGCTCCAGCCTGGTCCCCACCCCCTTCAAACACCTACAAGATGACCATGAGCCCCAGGTCCCTAAATTCCATCTCATTCACCTCCCAGCAGCTCTCTGACATTGCTGATCACCCCAGCCTCTCAGAACCTCCTTTTTCTCTTGGTTCCAGGATGCCACCCTCCTCTGGTGTCCCCCTACCTCCCTGTGGCCCCTCTGTCTCCAGTCTTTGCTCCTCCTTCACCCACCTTTCCATGTGGGGATCCCTCAGGGTCCTAACCCTTCCTCCCTCTCCTCTCTCCTGAGGCCACCTCCTTATCCAGGGCTCCAACTGCTGTGTGGACCATCAGTTCCCTCCATAAGTGAATTCACGTTCACATCTCTCCTGAGCCCAAAGCTGTGTGTCCAGCTGTATCCTCCCCTCCTCATGTGGGGGTCTCTCACACACCTCATTCCACCAAATCAGAATTGGGACTCACGGCTGCCTCCCCAATCCTGCCCCCGTTGTCCATCTAGCCCATCCTTCTGATTGCCCACGTCCTATAATTTGGGGCTCCCTGTCCCCCCTCTTCTCTCATTAGCATAACTGGTCCTTCAGCACGTCTGGCTGTGCTGCCTCCAAGCCCCTCCTCATTCCGTCCCCTCTCTGCATCCTGCTGCCACCCCTGGCTCCATCCATTGTCATCCTTCTCCCGGAAGCCTCTCCCGGCTTCCTCTCTGGTCTCCTTATTGCCACACTTGTCCCCTATTGCCCACTCTCTCTTTAGACCTGGAGAGATTTTTCTGAAATTTAGTGTAGATCACGCCATCTCTTGGCTGAAAACCATTCAATGACTGCCAGTTGCTCTGAGGACAAAGACTAAATGTTGCCTGGCTGGGTCCTGTTGCACCCCCCAGCTCCATGTACACCCTGGACACTCCGAGCTCCTGCTTTATCTCCTCAGTGAACCAAGCCCTTCCCACCTCAGGGCCTTTGCTTCTGCTGCTTTTTTGCCTGGAAGGGCTTCCCTTCCTGCGGTCACCTGGTTGATTCCTCCTTATCCTCCCATTTTCAGCTCCCATGTAACTGCCTTTTATAAGCCTTCCTGGATGCCCCGAGACCTTGACCTATGACTTGGCCCTACTCATGCTTTAACAGTTAATTGTCCAATTATTTGTTTATTATTTGTCTCTCCAACTAGATGGTAGTGCCGGGAACAGACACGATATCTACAGTGTCCAGCCCAGGAGCTGACATACAGTAGGCAATTAATGTTTGATGATGTTGTGGTTAAGGCCATGCCCTAGGCCTGGGTAAACTTACCTTTGCCTCTGTTGGTAATCCAACCCAAATGTACGAGCGTCCAGCTCCTCCCAACGCCCTCCCCCAGACCAGCTCATCACAGAACAGGATGTCCCAAGTTTATCGTGAAGCGTTCCTGAGATTCTGGGTCTTGGAATGTTCTCAGTGAGCGCTGGAGGCAGCGGGAAGGTTACAAAGTTACTGCAGATCTTCTTCCCCCTCCAATGGCTCGACTGTGGAGGCTGGTCTTGGTCACTCTTCCCTCCTCCAAACCTTCTTGCTGTGTGATGTTGGCTGAGTCACTCTCTCTTTCTGGAGTGGTCTCATCAGTGCCTTGAACCCTAGTGTCAGGATCCTCAGGGAGTATGGAGGGGGTCACAAGGTGAAAATGACCTAGGTTCACCTGCCTGGAGCACCTGGGATATTGGTCAGACTTGCATGGGCAGCCCGAGGAATGAGAGAGGATACATCACCAGGAGGTGACCTGCCCTCCTTCCCGTTTTGGAGGATGTGGTCTCAGTTTCCTCATGTGGAAATGGAATGATTGGTGGGCATGTTGATGGGTGCTAGAGAGACAGACGGATAGACAGGACAAACTGTGAGAGATAGACAGGACACACTCTGTGGGGTAGACAGACAGACAGGATGCACTGTGAGAGATAGAGAGACAGACAGGATGCACTGTGAGAGATAGAGAGACAGATGGGATGCATTGTGAGAGATAGAGAGACAGGACACACTGTGAGAGACAGAGAGACAGACAGGACGTGCTGTGAGAGACAGAGAGGTGGACAGAACGCACTGTGAGAGATAGAGAGACAGGATGCACTGTGTGAGAGAGAGACAGACAGGATGCACTGTGAGAGACAGAGAGACAGACAGGATGCACTGTGAGAGACAGAGAGACGGACAGGACGCACTGTGAGAGACAGAGAGACAGACAGGACGCACTGTGAGAGACAGAGAGACGGACAGGACGCACTGTGAGAGACAGAGAGACAGACAGGACGCGCTGTGAGAGACAGAGAGACGGACAGGACGCGCTGTGAGAGACAGAGAGACAGACAGGACGCGCTGTGAGAGACAGAGAGACGGACAGGACGCGCTCTGAGAGACAGAGAAATGGACAGGACGCACTGTGAGAGATGGAGAGACAGACAGGACACACTGTGAGAGATAGAGAGACAGAGAGGATACTGTATGCACAGAGTGTGTCTGGCAGAAGGGGCAGTTAGGTGCAAGCCTCCATCCTCATTGATGGGTAGAGTTCATGTATGTCCCCTGGGGTGTCCCTGGGCTGGAAGGTTCTGGGGCTGCAGACCCTTCACCTTTGAGATACCAGAGGCCATGTGGATAGGTCCCAACATGAAAGGTTGTGAGAATGAGCCCCAGGGACAGGTCCTGAGGCCACCATGCTGCACAAAAACTTTCCCCATGAGGACCTCCTCCTGTGACTGCCCCCAAGGCTGGAACCATTCCTAGCGTGACAAAAATCTGTCTTTTTGAGCCAAGTTCGGCTTCTCTGTAGGCAGAGAGCATGTCCTCTCCCTGTTCCCTGGCATGCACCCTTGGGACTTGGAGAGGCCTCAACGACTCCCCAGCCCCGAGAGGGAAGGAGCGGGAAGAAGCAGAGATGCCTCCATCAGTGCAGAATCTGGACACACTGTCCACTGCAGAGGCTGCAGGGGGACGTGCCGTGGCTCCTTCTGGGGAGTGATGGTCCCTGCCTTGCTTGAAGTTCACCCTCACCAAACATGACTTGAAGGTCATAATTCAGCTGGTGGCCACCTCCCCCCAGGAATTTATGACCTGGCTGGGTCCCACCATCCCTCTTGGCATTCTCTGCCACCCCCACAGTGCCTGGTATGTTACCAACACCACAGATTCCCACATTAAACATGTGATGGTGGGCACTATGGCATCATTCAAGGGCTGCGAGCCCCTCCCTGGCAAGCTTCTGTGCGGTCCCCGCAGGTTCCAAGGCCCCTCCTGCTCTCCTGCTCTTGGTCATCTTTCCCTTCTTTTGTTTATTTGCCACCCTCCATTCTGGAGTTCTGGACACTGCTTGGGGATCCTTGGGGAGACTCAGCCCCATGCTCTTCCCTGGAGGAACCCCCGAACTTGAGTACACAGAACTGCACAGAGTCACCTCCAATCTTTTTTTTTTTTAATTTTTTTTTGTGTGAGAAAGATCAGCCCTGAGCTAACATCCATCGCCAATCCTCCTCCTTTTTTCCCCCCAAAGCCCCAGCAGATAGTTGTATGTCATAGTTGCACATCTTTCTAGTTGCTGTATGTGGGACGTGGCCTCAGCATGGCCGGAGAAGCGGTGTGTCGGTGTGCCCCCGGGATCCGAACCCGGGCCACCAGTAGTGGAGCGCGCGCACTTAACTGCTAAGCCACGGGGCCGGCCCAGACACCTCCAATCTTGTGTTGTCAGGATGGGTCTGAGGGAGAAAGACAGGGGTTGGGGGAGCCCAGAGTGGAAGCAAGGCTTCTGCCATTTGGGCAGGCCAGAGGGCTTCTAGGAGGAGGAGTTGTTGCAAGTGGGTCTGGAATGGTGAGTAGGATTTTTTTAAGCAAAGAAGAGAAAGTATATTCTGTGGAGAGGAAGAACCCACTCAAAGGCCTGGAGGTGAGAGAGAAAGCACCTGCTTTTGAGCAGTGAGAAGGAGTTCAGTGCAGGTGGAGTGATCCAGATGAGAGGCAGAGAAAAGGTAGAGAGGAAAGCAGAGCGAGCAGAGCTTCAAGACCGCCTAGGGGGAGGAGGTTGATTCTGAGGGCGATGGGAGCCATGGGGGACGTGGAGATGAGGAGAAACGGGTAGTTGGAAAGATGGACATGGAAACAGGGTCAGAGAAAGAGAGATACAGAGAAAGAGTGAGGGAGAGAGACAGAGAGGACACAGAGAGAGAGAGAGAGAAAGAGTAAAAGAAGCATGTATATACACAGATAGAAACATATCTATCTATCTATCTGTCTATCTATCTATCTACCTCTCTATGTCTATCTATCTATCCATTCATCCATCATTTATTCATCTATCATCTAGTGATCATCTATCCACCCATACGTTATCTGTTTATCTATCTATTTATCCATCCATCATCTAACCATCTATCCATCCATCCATCCATTCATCCATCATCTATCTTTCTATCTATCCATCTATCTAGCTATCTATCTATCCATCCATCCGTCTATCCATCCATCATCTACCTATCTATCTATCTAATCTATCTATCAATCTATCTATCTAAGAAACAGAGAGATGTAGACAGTGAGGGGATAAGAGAGGCACATAGATATATAGACACAAAAAAAGACAGAGACCAACAGATAGAAGCTGATTTAGTGAGATGGAGAGAGGTGTAGGCCAATAATCCAGGCAGAACATGAGAAGGGAGTGAGTAAGGTTGTGGTGGGTAGGGAAGGTACAGTGGGCAGTTGCAGTTTCTGAGGCCCCTGCCAGACCTGGCCTCATCCACACCTATCCCCAGGTGAAGAGCAATGAGGATGGCTTGCGGCTGGTGGAGGATCTTGGCCACTATTTCCGTGACGTCCACCTCTGGTGGATGGGGCCCTTCTACCCCATCCTGAGGCTCGTCCACCCTAAGTTTGTTGCCCCCCTGCTCCAGGCCCCAGGTATCTTTTCCGGGAGCCTCCAAATCCAGCCTCTCCCCTGCCCTTGCTCCCAGCCGTTCCCACCCCTGGACAGACCAGGCTGAGCAAGGGAATGGGCAGCGTCGACACAGACCCAGCTCTGCCATTAACCTGCTAGGTGATTCTGGGCAGATCCTTGGCTCTCTCTGATTGCCAAAATCTCTTTCAGTTTTGAGTGTTGGAAACTCAACATTGTTGGTCTAAGTAAAGAAAGAGAATATATTGATCAAAAAGCTCAGGGAGAGTTGTCTTCAGGCACAGCTGGATCCAGGTCTTCAAACAATGCCATTGGGAATCTGTCTTCATCTCGTAGTTCTGTGTTCCTCTGTGATGGTTTCACTCTCATGCTGGTAAAGATGAGTCCCAGAAGCTTAACCCCCATGGAAAAGTGAGCTCATTCCTCACAGACCCAGGAAAAGTTGCAGGATTCCCTGAAATTGGCCTGGCCTGGCCTGGGTCACAGGGACCAATTCCTCATCTAATCACTGCAACTTGATTGACAAGGCTAAGAGTCATATGCCCAGCTCTGGAGTGGCATGGCCACCCTTCTAACTGCGTGGATTGAGAGTGGAGGAGCTATGGGGTGCCGGTTCCAGGAGAGGGTATGGACGCTGGACAGGCAGATACCACAGATGTCCATCCACTAGCATCCTTGCTAGGAGGGCATTTCCTGGGTGAGGAAACTGAAGCTCAGGGAGGCATAATGGTTTCTCAAGGCCACATAGCATGCTGAAGCTTCCTTCTTAGTTCTATATGTTCTCAGCTGCCCTGTCTGCTTTTGATGAGAGGGACCCTAAGCTGGAAGGTGATTTGGGGCAGGGAGATGGCCAGAGTATTGTGGGGGAAGATCCACCAGACTCCAGGTTGGTCAACTTTGTCTGCTTGGCCCTGGGGGCTGGTCTAGAGGCTGGAGGGAGCGGTGCAGCTCTTCATGGTGGGTGGAGCTCAGCATCTGAGGGGGGCAGCATGCTCTGTTTTTTTAAAAGACAGAAGAGCCCTTGAGCCGAAGCACTTAATACTGAGTATAGTGTGGAGGAGGATACTGAGGAAGTCTGGGTCACAATGGGGCCATGTCTGGGACGTTAATGGGACCATACTTAAGTCCTGTCTGGGGCCCGTCTGTAGGATACACTGAGGTCATGTCAGATTGTCTCAGGCCCATGTCAGAGCATGCTGTGTCATGTCATGGAATGTCATGCATGTTGAAGCCATGTCAAGGCATGTTAACGCATGGTAGGGCCATGTCAGATGTCCCAGATGTCAAGAGAGTGCTGGGGCAGACACAGTGTCCTAGGTCCTTGTAGAGGTGTTTTGTAGAGTGCTTGGCTGTCCTCGGGTGTTCAGAACATGGTGGAACATGTAGGAGCCATATCAATGTGTGCTGGGAGGTGTTGTGCCATGTTGGGGTGCATCTAAGCACGTGGGGGTGTGTCTGTGGGCTCTGCCTTTGCTCTACTCTGAGCTGCAGCCTGGTCTGGTCCCCCTTCACCTCCGCCTCCTCCCGGATTCCTCTGCCCTTGGCCCCACTTCTGCTATGCTGGGCTTGGAGGGGGAATGCAGACCCCTGGCTGGGGCTCCACCTCGCAGCAAAAGTCCCTCCTCTTCTCCTCTCCATGGCCCCTGATGGCTTATCTCTCATGTCAGCTGCCGCCGTGCCCAAGGATATGTATTTCTACAGCTTCCTGAAGCCCTGGCTTGGTGAGTAACTATGAGTGAAGGGGACTGGGGACAACCTTGGGGGACAGGGGAAGGCACTGTCTTTGGCCGTTCCCTGTGGCTGCCTCTACTAGGGGATGGGCTCCTGCTGAGTGCTGGTAACAAGTGGAGCCACCACCGCCGCTTGCTGACACCTGCCTTCCACTTCGAAATCTTGAAGTCCTATTTGAAGATTTTCAACACGAGTGCAGACATCATGCATGTGAGTTCCTTGAGCCCAGGGTCCCAAGTGGAGCCTTGGGAAAGGGGGACACACATGGTCTGGAGTCCTGGCTCTGCTAGATGGCTTTTTCTCTCCAAGACTCGTTTCCTCATCTGTAAAATGGAGATAATAATACCTTCTTAAAGGGTGGTCAAGAAGATATAATGGATTCGTGTTCCTGGCATGTAGTAGGTGCTCAGAAGGCTTTAGTTTTTAGTCTGCCTCGCTGAAGCTCTGTATATTCAAGGTAGTAATGATGAAGATTGCATAGTAGCTCTTTCTGCATAACGTACCACCTTAAAACCCATGGGCTTGGAGGAATTAGTGTTTGTTATTGCTCATGAGATGATGGGTCAGTCGAGTCTTCTTGTCTTGGCTGCAATCACTCATCTGTCTATGGTCATGGGTGGGTTTGGTAGACAGCTCTGCTGATCCAGGCTCAGCTCTAATACACGTTTGAGGCTTGACTGGCTGTTGGTTGGTCAAGGATGGCCTTGGTGGGACAACTGGACTCCTGCATTTGTCCCTCACCTTCCAGTAGGCTAGCCTGGGCTCAATCGCATGGTGGAGACTGGGATCTAAGAGAGTGAGCGAAAGATGCAGTACCTCTTGAAGCCTTGTTTCTGAACTAGCACACCAGGATTTCCACCTTTTTCTGTTGGCTGAAGCAAGTCTAATATCCAGCTCAGATTCAAGAGGTGGAGAAAGAGGTTCCACCTCCAGTGGAAGAGGTGCAGAGTCTCATTGCAAAGAGATAGGATATGGGGAGGGACAAAGAAATGGGGACATGTTTGCAGTCAACTACCACTATGATAATGATGAAGATGATGATGATAGCTAGAGGTTATTTAGAGCTTACTGTATATCAGAAATGATGTTCCAATTCCATGGCATTTGTTGTCTAATTTTCACAACGCTGTGAGGTAGAGATGATTATTGTTGCCACATTATAGATGATTAAACGGAAGGTCAGAGAGGTTAGGAAGCTTGCCTGAGTTTACATAGCTAGTAAGTGAACTATGAGTGGTGGAGCAGGGATTCTAACCTAGTTTCTCTGACACCAAAGCAAGTCATCTTAACTATTACTGAAGATTTGAGAGGTGGAGCCCAGAGGAGGGCAATGAGCTGACCAAAGTCACACAGAGCATAAGAGGCAGAGCTAGACCTTGAACCCAGGTCTCTTGACTCCCAGCCATGGGGTCTTCATGTCCTAATAGTAACAGCTTCCACTCCCATACAAACCTGATCATCCCAGGGGATGGGTGCCTGGGGCAGAGGACCAAGAGGCTGGGTCTGGGTCAGTCCATCCAGATGGTTGGGGTTGGGGAGGGTCTCAAGTGAGGCAGGTCCCAGCCCCAGCTCTGCTCCCTTCTCTGTCCAGGCCAAGTGGAGGCGCCTGGCCTTGGAGGGCAGCGCCCATCTGGACATGTTTGAGCACATCAGCCTCATGACCCTGGACAGTCTGCAGAAATGTGTCTTCAGTTTCAACAGCAATTGCCAGGAGTGAGTCCTTGTCCAGGGCCTGGGGACATGGGAACATCTACTCCCAAGGGAGCAGATGGAGGGAGGACTGACCAGGGCAATCAGAAGGGCTTTCCTGGAGGAGAAGGGTCAGAGATGGACATTGAAGGACAAGGAAGGAGAAAGAGAAAGAAAAATCCTTTCAGGTAGGTAGAAATGTTTCCTAAAGGCCAGAGGTTAGGAAGAGCAGAGCACATGCAGCAATGAGGAGACGCCTGGGAAATGAGGTTGGAGGGGTAGGGAGGGGTAGATCTTAATGACATTCCAAAGTCAGGCAAAGGGATATGAACTTTATCCTGAGGTTTCCAGGGAGCCATGGAAGGTGTTTGAGCAGATGAAGGTCGTGGTCAAAGCTGAACTTGGACATCTGACTCTAGAGAAGACTGTTGTGTAGACACAGGATGCGAGGAGATCATGGAGAGGAGTAGGCCTGAGCTTGGTGGAGAAAATGGGGCATTTTTGGGAGAAAGTGAGGAAGAATGGGCAGGGCCAGATGTCGTGTAGGAGAGGGAGGAGATGAATGGGATTCCCATGCTCTGTGCAGGTATCTAGGACATGAAGCAGCTCATAAGAGATGGGAGGCAGAGAGAAGCATGATGGAGGGCACTCTTTTATGGATGGGACCTTGTGCTGGGTTTCCGGCTGGGAGGTGCTCCCGGGGTTTCATATGCATTAAGCTGCTTCATAAGGCTCTCTCTGGCCTGGCCATGCAGGAATCCCAGTGAATATATTGCCGCCATCTTGGAGCTCAGTGCTCTTGTGACAAAACGGCACCAGCAGATCTTCCTGCACATGGACTTCCTATACTACCTCACCCCTGATGGGCAGCGCTTCTGTAGGGCCTGCAACCTAGTACATGACTTCACAGGCAATGTCATCCAGAAGCGGCGTCACACCCTCATTAGCCAAGGTTCCCATGACTTCCTCAAGGCCAAGGCTAAGGCCAAGACTTTGGACTTCATTGATGTGCTCCTGCTGGCCAAGGTGGGCTTCTCTGGGATCTGAATTCAAGAGTTAGAATGGATCTTAATTTGAAATGTCAGATGAGAGAACTTGGATTTGATGCAGAGGGTGCTAGGGAGCCATGGAAGATGCCTGAGGAAGAGAGGGACAGGTCAGAGATAAGTTTTAGGCATGAATCTGTAGAAGGCTGCCTGGAAGGAGTAAGAAGGAGGCAGCAGACCAGGGAGGAGGCTTGTGGGGTGGGCCCTGGAGATGATGAGGGAAGAATCCTGCTTGGATGATGCAAGTACTTCAGGGATTGTTCAGGTTAGACTCAGGCGCTCTTAGAGGTGGTGTGATTCAAAGGGTCTTGCCCTTTCTCCAGGATGAAAATGGGAAGGAACTGTCAGATGAGGACATCCGAGCTGAAGCTGACACTTTCATGTTTGCAGGTGAGGGTCCCAGTGTGGGCCTACAGAGGCAGCAGGGGTCTCTCTATCCCAGGGACTTGGTGGGTGGGCCCTGGACCACTCCTTCACCCCCATCCTCCCCGTCCTCCCTGAGGGCCTTAATGTGAGGGCGCTGTCCACCTTATGGTGCTGAAGCAGCCCAGAGACCCAAGCCTGTCTGCCTGCCTCTCAGGGCATGACACCACAGCCAGCGGCCTCTCCTGGGTCCTGTACAACCTTGCGAAGCACCCGGAGTACCAGGAGCGCTGCCGGCAGGAGGTGCAAGAGCTCCTGAGGGACCTTGAGCCTAAGGAGATTGAGTGGTGAGTGCGGGTTCACGTGGTCTGTTCCCGAACCCCTCTCATTGGCTCTGCTCCCCAGCTGGGAAGGGGGAAGATCTTTTTGCTGATTCTGTCATTTTTTCTTAGTGGGAATAGGAACAGAGCCCACAGGCAGGGTCTGGTACCCAGTCTGGACAGCAGGAGAAGGTTTGCAGATTTTTGAGACAGAAATATCTGAGTGTCCACATTTATTGCCCCACTAACTTGCTATGTGACTTTAATAAAATCAGTTCTCTTTTCTTTTCTATTATTTTTCTGTGAGGAAGATCAGCCCTGCACTAACATCCGTGCCAATCCTCCTCTTTTTGCTGAGGAAGACTGGCCCTAGGCTAACATCTATGCCTATCTTCCTCAACTTTATACGGGACGCCGCCACAGCGTGGCCTGACAAGTGGTGGCTCAGTGTGTGCCCGGGGTTCTGAACCTCGGGCCGCCAGCAGCAGAGCTCGTGCACTTAACCTCTATGCCATGGGGCCGGCCCCTCCCGGCCCCTCCCGGCCCCTCAGTTTTCTTTTCTCAATGCCACTTTTCTCCTCTGTAAATTGGTAGGGAGAGTGGAGAATCTCTCCCCAACCGCGCTGCTTCGAGAATTGCAACAATGTGTGTACAACAGATGCCACCCAGAATGTATTCAGTAAATGAACTTCTCCCCTCCCTTATTTTTCTGCCTGATGTTGCATTTTTTTCCCCAAAGACCCTAACTCCCCTTAATTTTTACTCTTTTCTCTAATTTCCACCTAATAATCTATTCCAGGGATTCACAAGAGATCTTTGGGGGTAAAAAATCATCCATCTCCTCGTTTAGTAAACATGTCCACGCTGCCTGCCCTTTCCCAACTCAGTGTCCAGTCCCACTCTAGTCCTCCCTGGGCAGGGCCGGGGCAGAGAGGAAAGGGGGTGAGGCTGGTTAGTGAAACAGTGAACACAAATTCACCACTCTGGGAGTGGGTAGCAGGCAGTGCTCTGGGCCAAGGGGATGGCTTGTGCAACGACCAGGACGGAAGGATGCAGGAGTGAGCCGGGCATGTTTGAAAGGAAGTAAATGTGGCTGGATCCTTGTGAAATTTACACTGTGAGGAACCAGAGGGGCTCCCAATGAGGCTGGAGCTGGAAGTGGAAGCCCCTCTTGGAATGCTTTGGAAACCATGTTAAGAGTTTCCAAACCTGTCAGTTCAAGTCCTTTGAAAAGCTGATACTGGATAAAAGATAAAAGCAGGCAGGGATGCTGCCATTAGGGAAGTCTCACATTGGGCAGAAATGGTCAGGCAGTAGTGGCCACCGTGTTCAGTCATTGGCCAGGGGCTGCCCAGGTAAGTGTGGTCTCGCCTGGAACGCTGCAGCAGGGCCTGGAGACCCTATAGCTGGAGGCTGTCAGCTAAAAGCACTCCTTGCAGCTGTAGAGCAAATTCTTTTTGGAAGGGAGATCCACGACTAACATAAGAGGACAATGGGGAGCCATGGAGATGTTTGAGCAGGGGAGGGACAGGTCAGATGTGGGTATTAGAAATATCTCTCTGCATCTACAGGGGCAAACTGGAGGGGATGAGCTGGGGCCTTGGGGACCAGGGGGCAGATTCTGGGCCAAGGGCTGAAGGATGGAGAGGAGGTGTTGGACTGGACACACTTTGGAGGTAGTGCCCTCAGCTTCAAACATTTGCTCAGCACAGCAGTCCTGTGAGGTGGAGAAATGTTTTCGTGCTTCTCCCACCTTCAAAAAATTATGTACTTGGTAAAAATTTAAATAGTACAAAATGGTTTACAATGAATTTAAGCCTCCCTCTTTTTTTCCCTCCCAACTTTATTGAGATATAATTGATATGTAACGTTGTATAAGTTCAAGGTATACAACATGATGATTTGATGCACGTGTAGATTGTTAAATGATTACAATAGGTTAGTTAACACATCCATCCCCTCATATACGCCTGTCTCTTAGGCTGGCGCCCCAATCCCGTCCCTGCCGTCAGTGGTTTCCTGTGTCCTTCAGACAGTGTTCAGTCTATAACCATACTTATCTGTTCACAGTCTCTCTCACTATGCTCATTCATTCTGTCTTGTCTCTCTACAAGTGAACGTATACATAGGGCATTCAGGCATGCACATTGAAAATATAATTTTAAGATCCTTTTTTTTTTACAGAATATAAATTTTGGAAAATTAATTTTGAATTGCAAAATCAATAATGAGAAGAAGTCTTTTTTTTTTGTCCACAAAATGAAACATTATGGAGAAGATTAGGTTCACCTTTGTTGCCCTCCCCCCAAGCCTAATTCCTTCTCTGTCTCCTGAGGGGTCTCTAGAGACATCAGTTTGTCATTTGTCGTTTCAGACCTTTCTTTTCTCATGTATATATGTATATATAGATACAGTTTAATATAAATACACTCATGCACACACATTTGGTCACTTGTTTTTTCACTCAGTAGTGTGTCTTAGAGCTCCTTCTTCTGAGAGCTACACAGTTTACTTGGCTCACTCCTCTGTTGGTGATATTTATGAAAACATTTGTAATTATAACGGATATTGCCAAAAGGCCTTTTGGCATCTCTGTATTAATTTACCCTACAGTGTGTGATAGGACAAGTGATCCCTATTTCCTCTTTTTTTTTGATCTATGAAACATAGTTTATTAGTATCAACCAATTTGCTAATGTTATATTATCCTTGTATTTTTGAAATTAATCCTACTTGATCACGAGTACTATTCTTTTTATATATTGATTGATTTGAGCTGTTGGTATTTCATCTAAATTTTTATTTTTTTATTGATGTCATAATAGTTTATATCATTGTGAACTTTTAGTTGTGAACTTTTAGTTGTACATTATTATTTGTCAGTCACCATATAAATGCGCCCCTTCACCCTTGTGCCCAGTCCCCAATCCCTTTCCCCCTGGTAACCACCAAACTGTTCTCTCTCTGTCCGTGTGTTAGTTTATCTTCCACATATGAATGAAATCATGCGGTGTTTGTCTTTCTCTGTCTGGCTTGTTTCGCTTAACATCATACCTTTTTTTGTTTTTCCTATAATAATATTATCTGGTCACAGCTTCCATCTGCTGCCACTAGGTGGGGGTCAAGAGCTGTGTATTCTGAGCCTGCTGTGATCTGCAGATGCTCTGGCCCACTGGCTGAGCTAACGTGCTGGGCAGGGGGAGAGGCACTTTCTTTCACCCCTGATCCCGGGGCTTCTCTCTCTTCCCTTGATATCTGCTCTCCTGGGGTGCCAGCTTGATGAAGACACCCCTGCAGCTGTTCAATCACCTCCATGTGGGAGTTTCCCACGGGCTGGGAGGGAACTTGGAGAGCAAAGGTTTTCCCAGCAGAGGGCTGCCCCTCCCCCCTCTCTCCCAGAGAGCTGAGCAGTCCCATGGTTGCTGCTGTTGGGGATGGAGAGGAGTTCTCCTTACTCCTTCCACTTCCTCCAGGGGGTCTAGCACCTCCACCTTCAGATGTATGGCTGCATGGGTCTCTCAGACATCTTTTGTATTGTGTGAATGTCCTCTGTTGGTATACAAATGTCCTTTTTGTTGTATCTTAGGGGAGGAGAGTCTAAGGGGAGCGCTCACTCTGCCGTGATGCTGACATCACTCTCCTCATCTCCCTATTTCCTCTTTTTTGATAGCTGTATAGTATTCTATCATATGGATGTACCATAATTTATCTAAACATTTCCCCACTGATGGACATTTGTATAGTTTTGGGCCTTTTGCTATAACAAACATGACGTAGTGAACATCTGCATATGCTGACTTTAGCTTACATGTGTGGATGTCTCTCCAGGACAGATTCTTAGAAGTGGCATTGCTGAATCAATGACCATTTGAGATTTTCAATTTAACAGCTCATGGCAAATCCACTCCTACAAACAGATTTTGAGAGTGCCTGTTTTCTTGCATCCTCACCGACAGTGTGCATTATAAAACTTTAAAACTTTTGCCAATCTGATAGGTGAAATATAATATTTTGTTATTTTATTGAGCATCACTTTAAGTATAGGTAAAGTTGAGCACTGTGTTCACATGTTGATCAGCCATGCATTTCTTTTTTTGTGAAGTGTCAGTTTGCCTTTTTACATCGAGCTTTTCTCTAGTTTTTTTCTGATTGATTTATAAGAATTCTTTAAATGAAAAGAAAATTAGTTCTTTTTCTGTTATGCAAAAATTCTTCTGCAGATTGTCTTTTGACTTTAGTTTTGGTTTTGGTTCATTTTTTGTATCACATCTGTTCACTTTTTGCTTTTAGAGCTGCTTTTTCTTTCTTAATCATGCTTGGAAAAGCCACTCACACTCTGACACTAAAACATAAAACTCTCGTTTGTTTTCTTCTAATGGGCATATTTATTTTTAAAAATATTTTATTAAAAATTTAATTTTATTTAATATTTTTTTATATTTAATACTTTGTTCCATGTGAAATCCATATTGGTATAAGTACTGAGGTAGGAATCTATTTTTTTCTCCAAGTGGCTAAATAATTGTCCCAACAGAATTTAATGAATATTTTGTATTTGTCTTAGGATTTTCAATAATAGCAGCTTCATGATAAACTAAATTCATTCATATATTTGTGTTTATTTCTGGACACTATTCTCTTCTATTTATTTATATATTCATACATAAGCACTAAGCAGTGTTCATTATCATACTTTTAAAAACATTTTCATGCTTGATAAAGTTGGTCCCATCTTATTACTTTGCTTTTGCAAATTGTTATCTTGCATTCTTATTTTTCCATTTGAACTCCATGATTGGGTTGGGTAGTTTGAAAAATACTCTTGAAAATTTTAAGTAATTAGTTTTTTTGACCTCAGTTGCCAAGGACGTGGTCTTGCTGAATAATCATCATCATTTTTCTGTGCAATACTTATTCGTTCCCCTCCATCCCGACTCTCCACTTCCAGTTGTCCACCAGTATGATTCCAGACAGCCCTATCCTTTTACTTGTATAATTTCTTGTTTTGGGTGGATGTATTTTAAAATTCACAAATATGTGTTATGCCACAGATCTCATGCTGGTTTTTACCTTTTTCAGAAATGTAGCACCACGATTTCATTAGATTTTATTATCCATGTATCTATGTACACATAGATTATTGCTGTGCACCATCATATAGTACTTCTCTCTCCCATCCCTTACAGTTGAATATTCAGGCTGCTTCCATCTCATCGCTGCAATGAAAATCTTTGTGCATGTGTCTCTATTTACCTGTCAGAGAATCTCTCTGGGATCTATACCTGGGAGCCGGCTTGCTGGGTCATAAAATACACATTGCCTTTCCTTGACCATGCTGATGCCCTCCAGTGTGGTGGCCCTTGTCCATACCTCCACTCTCAGTGCATGAGGTCCCTCTATCCCCATGCCTCAGCCCCTCCTTGTCATTACCCACCTTATTAATTCTTGCCTCGAATGGATGTGAAGTAACATCTCATTTCTATATAATTTCCATCTCTCTGATAACCAATGACTTTGAATATCTCTTCATGTTTTAAATCTCTTGTGTTTGAACTTCTGTGAATTCCTAGATCATATCCTCTGCCTACTTTTCTCTTCAGTCACATCTGTCATCTCTCTTGTTGATTTGCAGGAATTTCTGCAATCAATACACAATATCTTGTGTATTCAAGATATTGTTCTAGATCTATATATTTGTTGCTGATATCATCTGTGACTCTCTCATCTGAATGTTTTTTTGATCCATAGTGTCTTTTATTAAACAGAAATCCTTAATTTTGATACATATTTATCCCTTTTTTTGGTCTTCCAGTTTGTGCTTTTGGGGTTTTATTTAAGAATTCCTTCCTACTCTTAGGTCAGGAAGATGTCTCCTACGTTGTCTTCTTTTAACTTTATGGTTTTACCTTTCACATACGAGAGGAGCCTCCACCCTGTATATGGAGTAGGGTGAGGATCTAGTTCTTTTTGTTTCCACATCACCAGTTGTAGGAACACCTTCTACCAAACTATCCATCCATCCAGGCGTTTGTGGGGCCTCCTTTACCAGATGCTAAGTTTTCACCTACTCACATGCAGTATCTGAGCTCTCTGTTGTGTTCCATGGGCCTGTCTTCCTGTAGTTGTGACAATACCACACTATTTTTTATTACTGCACTTTTGTAATAGGTCTTAATATCTGGTAGGCTGAGTTCTCTTTCTTTGACCTTTTATTTTCACATTGACCTACCTCTTGATGAACTTTACTCCTTTCAAATTGAATAAGATTACCAAGTTCCAAAAAAAAAAAAAACTAGCTAGATTTTTATTGGCTTGCATTGAATATATTGATTAATTTAGAAAGACTTGATACCTTTATAATATTAGGTCATCCCACCTTAGAGTGTGGAGTGGATCTTATTCATTCAAATAACCTTATAAACCCATTATAGAGGTTACTATATTTTTGCTTTTTTACCTAATTATACAATTCAAAAGCTTTTTTATGCAAATGTATTGACACTTTTAAGGATACCCTGTGAATGTTGTGTTTTGCTCAGAAATGCTTCTAAAAATACTAGGATAAGTTTTCTTCTAGTAACTTTTGTTGTTTTTATTTTCTAATGCTTCAATCCTTGGTCTATCTGGAATTTATTTTGTTATAGGAGTGAGGGTCAGAGGAAGGTGGAGAGAGGATCTCATGGGGCAGCAGGAGGACAGAGGGGTCTCTGTTTTTGCTCCCAGGATAACTGTTGGGGGCTTTCCTTAGGGAGGACCTGGCCCAGTTGCCCTTCCTGACCACATGCATCAAGGAGAGTCTGCGGTTGCATCCCCCAGTCACAGCCATCTCCCGCCGGTGCACCCAGGACGTTGTGCTCCCAGATGGCCGGGTCATCCCCAAAGGTGCCTACAATGTCAGGGGGAGGAGGGTGGTGGTCCCATCAGTGGAGACCTGGTCCTGACCACTCACTCTTCCCCAATAGGGAACATGTGTGTCATCAGCATCTTTGGGATTCATCACAACCCGTCAGTCTGGCCGGACCCAGAGGTGCTGCCCTTCCCCCCTTCTCCATGCCCAGGACCTGGTGCGGGGGCGCAGTCCTGACACTCCCCCTCCACTGTATCCGCATCTGTCTTTTTGGGGGCTTCTGGGTGTCCTGAGAAACCCCAACGAGCAGCCTTGCCTCTCTCTGCCCCTAGGTATACAATCCTTTCCGCTTCGACCCAGAAAGCCTCCAGAAGAGGTCACCTCTTGCCTTTATTCCCTTCTCGGCAGGGCCCAGGTGAGGCCAGAGGACGTCTGAGGCGAGGATGGGGTGAGGGTGGTGGGGGCACTCAAAGGATACGCAAGCCCACGTGGGGGTCCCAGGCACGGTTAGCCCCCTCCTCTCTCCTGCGGGCAGGGACGGGGGTCCCGGGACAGGTTCCTGGCGCCGTCAGAGCCCCACTCCCGCCCGCAGGAACTGCATCGGGCAGACGTTCGCCATGACCGAGATGAAGGTGGTCCTGGCGCTCACGCTGCTGCGCTTCCGCGTCCTGCCGGACGAGGAGGAGCCGCGCAGGAAGCCAGAGCTGATCCTGCGCGCCGAGGGCGGACTTTGGCTGCGGGTGGAGCCGCTGAGCGCGGGCCCGCAATGACCCCCCGCCTCCTGGCCTGGGATCCACCCTGACCTCACACACCTCACACAGCTTTGCAGATTCCCGGGAATAAAACTGTGCTGTCACCTGTGCCCGAGCCTCACCGAGAGCCAGCAGGGGGCGCCTGGTGACAGCGGAGGATGGCCAGGGGGCGTGGTTGGGTGGAGGCGGGGCTGGTGTCTGCGAGTCCAACACCCTGAGTGCCTCTCCAGCTGACCAGAGCGCGCCCATGCTGATCGAGAATTCTTCTAGAAATGAATCATGGATTTTTAAACCGTGGGCAACAGGGAGTCACGGCAGGTGTTTGAGCAGGAGAGGGACCAAGGTTAAGGACGGGCTTAAGGGGCCTTCCTGAGGTTCTGAGTCATAGAGGAGAACCCGCAGTGTGGCACTGTGCTCTGACTACCCTGACCTTGGTTCGGATCTCCTAATATACCCAATCTTTCCTCAGCTCCTAATCCTTCACTAGGTTTCTATGGTTACTATGCTGCTATGTTTACATAAAGATAACAAGCCTGGATGCTTTATAGGGTGTTGTGATATTTGTCCCTGTTATATTGTCTGTTTGCTGGTTTTCACTCGCAGGGGTCAGCGTTCCTGTGTGCCTGCTTATCATTGTCTGAGTAGTGGCTACCACATTTGAAATAACACTTGCCAAATTTGAAGAAGGCAGCTTTCTTTAAGAGGAGTCCTTGGAGCCCTGCTGGTTGAGGTCATGTTAAATGTAGTTCAAGGCTCATGGTGCCCAAGGTCACTAAGGCAGTTTAAATTCAAGTTGAAGTCACACTTGCAGTCTCCTCCACTTTAGTCTGCAGTCATCCTGAGGGGTGTAGCTTTTTGAGGTCTCCACCTATGTGAGGGGGGTCTCCTTACAATTTCCCCTCCTGGCATCTCCCTGGGCTCTGATTTTCTCCACCTCCTCACGCGGCCATCAAAACAGAAATACCTCTGGGGCAAAAGCATAATTCATGTTCATTTTATCTCCAGGTTTCTGTTTTCATTTGAGTAGTGTCTTTGTAATTCTTTACTGTCTTTTCGGTCTTTTATTCATTAAAGAAACTGGAAAAGTATCCAGCTTTGAGAGTTGTTTTTAAAAGGTGAAAGCTTAATTTGAATAACCTAACTTGCCATTCATGGAAAAAGGAAATATCAATTGGGATTTTAAATGGTTGTTGTCCAGTTATTACTCCACTCTTGGATGTATTAGGAATGATGATTGCCTTTAAGTGGATAGATTTCTAGACCACAAAAGCCCACATCAGGGTTTAAGGGAGAGGACTCCACATCACCCAGAACCGGATCTTTGGGCTGAATGGAGGGAGCAGGTGGACTTTGGGGTTGTCTCCCTTGGGGATGTTGTAAGTGTGTTCCTTGTATATGAAGAAGGGTACACATTGGATGTTTTGGTAGTCAACGGGATGGATTGCATCAGAGACTGCTAATTGTGTATCCTGATGTGCATTTTTGCCCTCTTAGAATCCTTAATTTTTAGGTAAGTGCATGGCAGGCTGAAATTCACATTATATTTGAAAGCTTTTCTTGAAGCTAGATTGGTTAAAGCACTGTACCCTGTCCCACATGGAGAAGTCAAAGATTACATGGTAATTCTCAAAAACTTCTTTAAGAGAAACCTGGGACTCTCTCCCTGTCCAGTCTTCCCCCTTCCTCCTTCCTGTTGCTTGGACCGCTGTTGTGGTCCCTGGAGCTCCATCTTGGATCTTGAGGACAAGACACTCTCTAGGGAAGGTGGAGCAGATAGCTCGATGCAGTCAGGGCCGGTGACCCTGGACCCACCACACCCTGGAGTTGTCCTCACAACCGCACAATCTCAGTTTGCTATTTAGCAGCTGTTTGGCTTGGGGAGAATTGTTTCTCTCTCTGAGCCTCAGTTCCTTTACTGTATGCTAGTAGCCACCTTATTGCACTCTTGTGGAGACTGAATGAGCAAGCATGTGCAACACGACTGAGTCAATATCTGGTAGCATCAGTCCTCAGTGAGGGTTAATTTCCTCTCTTCTCCCTTCTTTTTGCATCACGTCCTAAAATTTAAAATGTTTTAAAGTCGTGAAAGTTAAATTTAAATTTTGGTAAATGTGGCAACCGTCTGTTGAAGAAAAGTATCAGAAGATTCGGTAAGTTCAAAATATCCATAGGTACATCTGAGAAATTACAAGGGCCTTTGATGCAAAGCTGGCCTGAAGCTGGGAACTGAAATTTTTTTTTTTTTTGCCAGAGAAGCATGATCCGGACTTCATTTTCTCCTGGATGTTCCAGGAAGTGGAGGCCATGCGAGTCCACAATAGTGAGAGGAAGGTGGAGGGGGTGGGGTGGGGCCGCTTCCTCCAGCACCTGGTACAGCGGCCGCCCCAGGACTCCCTCCTTGCTGGCTGTAGCCAGTCCCAGGGCACAGAGTCAATGTCCCAGAGCCTTTCAGGGGCCCACAGACCGAGGGCCTGGAGGATCACTGGTTAACAAGCATGTGGAAAGATGCTCATCATTAGTTATTAGGGAAATGCAAATCAATGCCACAATGTGATACCACTTCACAGCCACTAGGATAGCAAGAATCTGAAAAAGGGAAAACAGCAAGTATTGGAGTAATTGGAACCCTCATACACTGCTGGTGGGAATTTAAAATGGTGCAGCCATGGTGGAAAACAATTTGGTGGTTCCTCAATAAATTAAACCTAGAATTACCACATGACCAATGCCTAGGTACATACCCAAAAGAATTGAAAACAGGTGTTCTAACAAAAATTTGTACATGAATGTTCATAGTGGCACTATTCACAATTGCCAAAAGTTGAATATTTGGGAAACAATCCAAATATCCATTAACAGATGAATGGATAAACAAAATATGGTCCATCCACACAAAGGAATATTATTCAGCCATAAAAAGGAATGAAGCAATGACACATGCTACAGCATGGATGAACATTGAAAACATTATGTGAAAGGAGCCAGACACAAAAGGTCACATATTGTATGACTCCATTTATATGAAATGTCCAGAACAGGCAAACCCATAGAGACAGAAAGTGGATTGGTGGGTGTCAGGTGCTGGAGGAGGGGGAATAAGAAATGACTGCTCACAGGGATGAGGTTTCATTTTCTGGTGATGAAAATGTCTTACAGCTAGATAGAGGTAGTGGTTGCACAACACTGTGAATGTACTAAATGCACAGAATTGTACACATTGTAATGGCTGAAATGGTGAATTTTATGTTACATGAATTTTACCTCAACCAAGAAACTGCTGTTTTATAATATATATATTTGTTATATATATATGTATATATTTGTTAATCTGGGTTTTTCATATAATAGTATACTGTGCAAATCTTTCTATGACATTACGTTATCTTTCCATGACATAAAAATCATCATCTTGGCGTATTTAAAATCTTTAAGTGTTGTGTCAAGCCACTTTTTATTTATTTATTTATTCAATTTTTTTTGTGCACTAATTTTTTATTGTTGTAAAATAGATACAACATAAAATTTACCATTTTAACAATTTTTACGTGTATAGTTCAGAGACATTAAGTACATTCACATTATTTTGCAACCAGCACCACCATTCATCTCCATAATTTTTTAAATTTATTTTTTATTTTTTTATGTTATTGTCATATTGGTTTATAACATTGTGTAATTTCAGGTGTACATTATTATATATCAGTTTCTGTACAGACTGTCATACTCACCACCAATAGTCTAATTTTTATTTGTCACCATACATATGTGCCCTTTTACCCCTTTCACCCTCCCCCCACCCTCTTCCCCCCTGGTAACCACTAATCTGTTCTCTTTATCCATGTGTTTGTTTACCTTCCACATATGAGTGAAATCACATGGTGTTTGTCTTTCTCTGTCTGGCTTATTTCGCTTAACATAATACCCTCAAGGTCCATCCATGTTGCTGCAAATGGGACGATTTTGTCTTTTATTATGGCTGAGTAGTATTCCATTATATATATACCACATCTTCTTTATCCATTCATCAGTCGAGGGACACTTAGGTTGCTTCCATGTCTTGGCTATTGTGAATAATGCTGCAGTGAACATAGGGGTGCATAGATCTCTTTGTATTGTTGATTTTGTGTTCTTTGGATAAATACCGAGTAGTGGGATAGCTGGATCATATGGTATTTCTATTTTTAATTTTTTGAGAAATCTCCATACTGTTTTCCATAGTGGCTGCACCAGTTTGCATTCCCACCAGCAGTGTATGAGGGTTCTCTTTTCTCCACATCCTCTCCAACATTTGTTATTTTTTGTCTTGTTAATTATAGCCATTCTAACAGGTGTAAGGTGATATCTCATTGTAGTTTCGATTTGCATTTCCCTAATGATTAGTGATGTTGAACATCTTTTCATGTGCCTGTTGGCCACTTGTATATCTTCTTTGGCAAAATGTCTGTTCATATCCTCTGCCCATTTTTTGATCAGGTTGTTCATTTTTTTGTTGTTGAGTTGTATGCGTTCTTTATATATATTGGAGATTAACCCCTTGTCAGATATATGATTTGCAAATATTTTCTCCCAGTTGGTAGGTTGTCTTTTCGTTTTATTTTGGTTTCCTTTGCCCTGCAGAAGCTCTTTTGTCTGATGTAGTCCCATTTGTTTATTTTTTCTTTTGTTTCCCATGCCTGAGTCGACGTGGTATTTGAAAAGATAATGCTAAGACTGATGTCAAAGAGTGTACTGCCTATATTTCTTCTAGGAGTTTAGTGGTTTCATGTCTTACATGCAAGTCTTTAATCCATTTTGAGTTAATTTTTGTGTATGGTGCAAGATAATGGTCTACTTTCATTCTTTTGCATGTGGCTGTCTGGTTTCCCCAACATCATTTTTTGAAGACACTTTCCTTTCTCCACTGTATGTTTTTGTCTCCTTTGTTGAAGATTAGCTGTCCAGAGATGTGTGGTTTCATTTCTGGGCTTTCAACTCTGTTCCATTGATCTGTGTGTCTGTTTTTATACCAGTCATGCTGTTTTGATTACCATAGCTTTGTAATATATTTTGAAGTCAAGGATTGTGATGCCTCCAGCTTTGTTCTTTTTTCTCAGGTTTGCCTTCGCTATTCAGGGTCTTTTGTTGTTCCATATAAATTTTAGGATTCTTTGTTCTATTTCCATGAAGACTGTCACTGGGATTTTGATTGGGATTGCATTGAATGTGTAGATTGCTTTAGGTAATATGGACATTTTAACTATGATTATTCTTCCA